CCTCAGCACAAGACAGACACGGACCTGTTGGAGCAGGTCCAGAGGAGGGCCGCAAAAATGATCAGGGGGATGGAACACCTCTCCTGTGAAGAAAGGCCGAGAGAGTTGTGGTTGTTCAGGCTGGAGAGGAGAAGGCTTCGGGGAGACCTTCTTGCAGCCTATCAGTACTTCAAAGGGGCTTCTAAAAAAGATGGCGGCAAACTTTTTAGCGGGGCCTGTTGCAACAGGACAAGGGGGAATGGCTTTAAACTAAAGGGGGGTAGACATAGACTAGATATAAGGAAGACATTTTTTACGTTGAGGGTGGTGAAGCACTGGCACAGGTTGCCCAGAGAGGTGGTGGATGCCCCATCCTTGGTAACATTCCAGGTCAGGTTGGACGGGGCTCTGAGCAACCTGATCTAGTCGAAGACGTCCCTGCTCATTGCAGGGGGGTTGGACTAGATGACCTTTAGAAGTCCCTTCCAACCCAAACCATTCTATGATTCTATGAACACATAGGCTTCGTAAGAACCCTCCCCAACCACTATCATTTTGAGGTCTAAGAAACATTAACCATACAATCAATTTGTGTTAGCATCTAGCCAGTGAAGCTAAGCAGACGTGTTACAGTCCCAGAAGCGTTCAACTCTGTTTATGTCCCCTTTCATACCATTTAATCTACTCGGTTTCTAAATTGATACAGATTCTCTTCCTGTGAGTCTACTAGCTAAGCATGTTCCACTGCAATATGCAGGGCTTTTAAAAGGCAAAGAAATTCACATTGGTGGATACTATTAGTGGTAACTAGATGTCACAGTTAAAGAGAAAACCATTCAGTTTTCTAAGTACAGCTTCTAAATTTGGACTGGGAATATTAGAATTAGAGAAAAAAGAGACTGAATCAATGTTTACCAAGAAGCTAGCTGGGGTTCCTTCTGGAGACAGTGTCAAGAAAGCAAGGGGGAGACAAACCCACAAAGCAAAACAAAAACCAATCAAACAAAAAAGAGGTTTTACCAGCATCTCTAGAACTTGAATATTAATAGAATCAAACGTTCAAAAAAGATTCAGACTAACATTTGTCTACCTCAGGATTCCTGTCTGCAAATATTGAAATTTGGCATGGCTCAACATTTGCTTATTCACAGCACAATTACTCACAGTAAATGCTAAATGGAAACATCTCAGCATAATAAAGCTTTATACCCCTAAAAATAAATATAATGATTTGGTCGGCTGTTTGAGAGAAGGTAGCTGGGCTACCTGCAGAAGAAATGAAAATTTTCTTTGCCTTGTTCCATTAACATACAGGACTCACACACAGGTAAGATTAAAGATGTTAAGTTTCTTTTGAAAAAACACTAGTCCTGGGAATGATCAAACCGAGTATGGTAGACCAATGAAGGTCAAAATAAAATGCACTTTTGGACCCACACAGAAAGATGAGCTTTCAAAAACATTCCATGTAGCTCTAAAATGTATGTATTCAAACTAACAAATTACTACCCAAGACTTCTAAGAGAAAAAAGAAGGTGGTGATTTTTGAGCAGAAAAAGAATACTGTCTTCATCTTAATGGCTCTTCTTTGTTTGAGTAACAGTAACTTTTGAACACCTGACATGTTCACAAACATCAGTTGTCTATACATCAAAGAACCAGCTGATGGCAGACATTACTCAACCCCCACGGTACAGCAACAGCTTTCCCTTCATCTTGCCTGGCCCATCTGTCCAATACAGTTTATAATGCTAATGTTCCAAATAACAACTGGGAGACCAGGGCTACACCACAGAGTTTCTCCTGGACAACAACACTGATTAGAAAAACAAAGTTTTGTGGAGACATGGATATTTTCATGTTAACAAACCCACAATGTAGAAACAGCCATGCTGCTGAAAGCATGCTTTTAGTCAGATTATCTCACGTTGCTTAGGAAAGTGGCATAACTAGAGGAAAATGTTTTGGGGCTCTGCACAGTCCTTAAGCCAGCAACGGCTACAGTAGCAAAACCTGTTTATTTTCATTCTGTATGAAGGTTTGTCTACGAGCTCTGACTTGCGGGTCTGTCATATTTTGTGGTGATAAATTACAAACTATTATTACCAGCCATCAAACCCATACTGGAAGCAACTGCTCTGCAGCTGAATAGGCAGTATGTCAACTCCCCAACTATCACAATTTGTCATTTAATGTAATGTATTAACTGGAATTCACATCAATTCCAATCTAGACTAATACGCTAGACTGAACTGCAGTATCAATATCACCCTTGTTGCTGTCTCTGCACAGGGACAGTAACTCACATCTGTAATGAAACTCAAGAGGGATCATGAATCAGAGGTGGAGAGCTCTGACAGACATGAGGATACGTAAGTCTCTAGCAATAATGGAAAGCAAGTAGAAAGAACCCAGAGCTTGTTACCCAGAGGGGATCAAGTAATTGCAGGAAGTTCCTCAAATAGAGAGGAAGGTAAAAGCAAGCTACTGGGAAATGGAGGGGACTAAAGTGGAGAACAAATGCCAGGAACTCCTTACTATACACATTGTGCTCAGCAACAAGGCACAAACCCTATTTTAAAGGGAAAAAAATCTAATTCAGATTAAAATCTGTATATCAAAGAAGTGTCTAAATATTACTGTCTTTGCTTTTTGTAACAGCACGACTTGCAATCTTGCTCATATTTAAATATGTTTAAGTATTCTGATGAATTGCAACCTATATCTTGAAAAGAGGCGGAACAAAATTAATTCTTTTAGAACAGTGCTTAGAAGCATTGTCTCAATGAAGGCTTTGCTCGAGGCAGAAAAGCTATGGGATTGGTTTCTGTCTCTGCAGGCACTGCCTGAGTTACTGTGGGCAAGTCATTTAGTTTATCTGTCCCTCAGGTCTCCATCTGCAAAATGGAAGTAATTTCCCTATTTCGTAGGGTTTTTCTCATGGGGATGTGTGTTTAAGCATTCTCATATGACAATGATCTTCATGCGTTGTGGTGAGGGACAGAGAATAAGAACCTGGGTAGTACGGAATAAATAATACAGAATAAATTACTACATTTGAACATGTGAAAGTTAAAATTTTAACTGGGTTATTAAAAACATATTCTCAGTTGTATTAGTAATAATCATTTTACCTGAAAACCTGGAACAAAACAAACGCCTTGAGAATCAGCAATACTCCGTGCCATTTTTTCTGTTTCGTCTACATTGGTGAAAAGATCTGTAAAGATGCATAAGTCATATGCTTTTATTATTTACTTCAATTTCTTTATATATTACTAAGAGACAAAAATCCAGAGTTAGACTGTTTCCTTTTGTAATATTCTTGAACTACATGTTCCAAGGGAAACGATCACTTCTCCTGTATTTCACGTCCATCAGTCACATTAAAAAAAAATAATCCTATTCAGATGAAGACTAAATTCAAAAGGATCCTTTCATATCTGTTATGCTGTAGCCTTTTAATCTTCACATCTTGTAAGAAGTCATTAGCTTTCCAAATAGACATAAATGGGAATTGAGAATGCTAACAATGGCACCCTTAGTATGCTAAAAACCTAGGTTTGCAAAACATAAAAAATGTTTTTTCCCCCCAAAGATGTTGTTATTGTCAGCCCAAACACCAAATGACTACAGAGATAGTCCTTAATACCATCATATTTTATCAGCACCCTTAATATTTTTACAAGTGACTGACACATAAATATAAATAAGGTAGGTCTTAATAACACCTCTTTGATAGACACTACTTTTATTCTTTGTCTAGCTGGATGTCTCCTTTCACAACTTTATAGACATCCCTCTTTAGCTTGTTCTTTACCCACATCCAGTTCTTGTACTAAAACCCATCTTCTGTAGTTTTAACTAATAATGTCCTTATATGGCCACATAACGTCTTTTGACAGAAGACTAGAGGCGTCCTGTAAATGAGAGCTATTGCTTTTTCTTGTCTAAAAAGTAAATTTTCCTATCAAAGATAATTAGGTTAATCTAGCTCAATTTATCTTTGAAAAACCCATCTTGGTAGTTTACCAGGAGTTTCAATTTACCTTTGTAACCTTCATACATTTGTTTGAAAGCTTTGGATTCTACTGTGCCCAGACTAATAAACCTAAATCACATCTTTTCCTTCTTGTTGTATTTGCTATTAGCGAACTATATAGAGTACCTCTATGTCAGGAGAGAAAATGAAAAAATTGAGTGAGATTGACTTCACCTTGAAATTCCACGTACTACTTTTACAAAATTCTTAGAAGTGATCTGATCCCACTAAAAGAAGCCCATTAAATTGTCTTGCTGCAGAAATTCCTATTTCCAAACCTTTACCACTATTATATGTCTCATCTTCATCCATGTTGAGCCTCACCATCCTTACTGAGGCCATTCGCTTACCTTGTTTTGGCCCAATTCCTTCTGCAGAGCAAAGTTTTACCCTTCTCTTTATTCGTAAAGCTGATAAGAGTTTCTGAATTCCGCTTCTCTGTAATTGTATTTCCAGAAAATAAAGGTCTTACTTATTAGAGAGTTTATAGCAGCATGCCTGTTTTTTTCTCTCTCTCTCTCAAACTTCCCCAATTTTTGCCTGTGGTAACAACTGTAGGTCACGTCCATCTCACTACTGGCTAGCTAAAAATCCTTTATACTATTGCTCTGCATATACCAATAATATCCATTTTAAGTATGGATAAGTTCTATACGGATAAGTATCCATTTTAAGTATAGAATTTGAAGTAGCAAGCTTATATATATACCACTGATACTTGTATCTGCAGCACTGAACTGTGTATTGAATTGAGTAACTTCCTCAAAAGACTAGAGGCTGTTATTCTCCAGACTCAGTCAAATGTTGAATGATGAAGAGCTGAGGACCAGTCTGAGTCATACTTAATCCTTAAGGGCACATTCATGAGCATGTATATGCACATATGCAGCAGAAGTTGACAACTTCAAGAAATACGGAATTTTGTGGTAAGCTTCAGGAAAACCTTTCCTAGATAATCCAAAGTTTGAGACACTAATTCCTTTTTTGCACCCTAGTACAGACGTACTAAATTTCTACATAAACCAAGTAAATAGTTTTTTAGAACACTCAGAAAAGCTGTCCTATAAACAATCAGTGGTTTTGAACATCAACTACTATAGAGCTAGTATTTTCCTTAGTCTTTTATTAATGTGGAACGCAAGTCTCTTCATTACATAATAGTCACAGCCAAAAGGCACATTACTTCTACGTGAAGCAACACACACAACGCCGTTACTTTTAAAATAAAGTTCTTCACTTTATTTTCGTATAGCCTGTTACTAATTCTGAGATGTACAGCTAGAGATCTCTCAAAAGCATTACAGCAACTGTTTGTGGAATATTGCATTTATAATCATGCGACCTAGACTTAATCAGTAGTCAATTTCTGTGCTTCTCCTCAACTGAAAATTCAAGTCCAAATACCCTAAAACAGCACACATCTAACTTTAGACAGGTCTCTGTTACACCATTTCTATTCAAGTCTGGATACCAGGTTAAAAAAAACCAAAAAAAAGCATCAGGAAGTTCGTCATGCTCAAGAGAAAGCAAGTGAGGAGTAAAATGTTTCAGGAAAATAAAAGCCTACATAGGTAGGAGGGTCTGAGAGGCAGAGTCTGAACGGCGAGATGATTGTGCAAACCAAACTCTCTGCAGTAAATACACTCAGTTCTACTAATGAGACTGTGCATTTTCTGCTGTCCAAAACGTGTAGGCTAGTTTCTTCAATTATGGATAACAAACCCAAGCCCAATAACATAACTAAAACCCATAAAACAGTTTCTTAAGTAGTAACGTATCTTACCCTCTATAAAATTAAAGAGCTACTTACTTATATCCTGAGCCCATTTTATGGCAGTGCCGATGTCTGACATACAGCCTTCAGTTACGTAAACAACTTCTTCCCCAATCTTCCAACCAATCAGTGGATACAGACCTTAATTATTTTCCAAGAAACAAAACAAAACACCTAGTTAAATTAAATGTTTCCAGAAAAACATATACAAGCTCGCCCCACAATAAACCCAACTAAAAAGAAGTAGTTTTTATTCAATTCCTTTGCAGAAATCAAGCTAAAAAAAAAAGTCACTAATAGAGGTTAAACATATTGTTTAAAATTTAGTGATGAAATTACAAGGGACTCGAACGACAGTTTGTTAAACCAAAGTTAACCTAAAAAAAATTCACTATCAAATTACAACCCCCCCCCTTTAAGCTAAAGAGAAGAGCTATCTGCACCTACTTTTTTTTTTTTAAATGAGAAGAGATTGTATATACTTAAAAATTTATCGATGTTTTCCTATTTATTTTCAATCTATCTAATTTTCCCCAATGGTTTCTAAAAAGTCTGAATTTACTTCCCCAAAAAACATGAAGGCTGAGCTTTCAGATGGGAAGCACAAATACTAAAACAGACATACACACACACACAAAAAAAAAAAGGCAACACAAACTTAGAACATAGATCTTATTCATAAAAGAGGATGAAAGTGATATACTTTTTATTCCTTTTTCAATATGCAATGCTTCCTCACATCGAAAGCAAAAAAAGAAAGTAAGTTTCACAATTTGCCCAATCTTGTCCCCAACAAAGGCTACTGCCAGTTAACATTTTACCAGTATGTTTGCCTAATACAAACAACAAAAGAAACATCCAAACTCATTAAAAATATTTGGTGACATACTTTGTCTATAACTATGAAAGATTAGCACTTCCATGGTTTACATGATGGGATTTGCAGGAAGTTATGATTTCCACCAAATAGTTTTGGCTTCACAGTGACTCAAAAAAAATTTCAATGACTTTGAAATATTTTTTTCCTTATCTCAGAAGAAAGGCAGAAATACACAGGGCAAACACTGTTAGTTTCTTTGAAAACACAGTGCAGCATTTTCAAAGAGCTGTCTGCTTGAACATACTATTACATTAGAAATAAACAGCCAATAATGAGGATAAACCTGATGATTTGTTCTCCCCTTTGCCCCCCATGTTGAAACCTTAACAAAGAAAAGAGAGACATACTACTTAAAACTGTCCACGTGAATGCAAAGACCTTCTTGTTTGATACCTGTATTAGTAAGGACATAGCACAGAAGTCCTGCAGAGTACTGCTTTTAATGCTAAAGCAAAAAGACTTTGTTATCTAGCTGAACAGTGTATGTTCTCCAGCACTGCAGCTGGACAAATGGTTTTTCAGGTCACTCGGTAAGAACTTGAGCATTCAGTGGCCACTGCAATAAAAACTTCACCCAACCCAAGTACTGTAACTGTTGGAGTGAAGAAAGCACCCAGACCTTATGGGACCCTGCTCAGGACTCAGAGATCATGGGTAATGCAACAAAGGTAAATGAGTCCAAATAACCACAGGACCAGAAAAGCATCAGAAGGATCTAGGGATTCTCTCTACTTTCTCAAGGTGACTTTGCTGATATACAAGTGTCTCTCACAGAATCATCTCCAGTTTGCTTGCCTGTGTCCAAAAGAGTGGCGTGGTAGCACTAGTTACTTGGTTAGTGCTGGAGGCACTCTGGTGCTTACAAGGGAAAACAATTAGCAGTAGCTATTCAGATTAAAATTTGTATTTGTCTCTTGAAAGGAAAAGGTGATATACATGTCTCCAGATCCTTGGTGCAGGTTTCCCTTCCAATCTTTATTTTCTACCAAAGGTGAAGCTGCAAAGCAGCAAGACCAAACAATCCATTGAGCCAAAAGTCCTAGAGAAGGACAGCTAAATAGGGACAGAGAAGTCCAGCAGGTAGCCTTCCTAAAGATGCTCACACCAGAATCTCCAGTAGTGTAAGATAATCTATCTCTAGGGAACAGATCAACATGACACTTGGCATGACCACAGTTACTAAGAACTATCAGACTGCCAGAGAGGCAGATTTAAAATCTACACAATGTTTCCATCATTGAATTGTTGAGAAGTGCTGTTCTCGAAGGAGCTATTTTTTTTTTTTTAAACTGTCATATATAGCAACTAGATGTAGATCAGAAACTAGAACAGCAGCTAATGAATAGCTTGCAGAAGGATGCTGCAGGGATTCAACTTGCAGTCTTAAATACATATGTCAACTTTAAAAATTGAACACGTTACATTTCATGCCCAGGGCCCTGAGAAAGCTAGGTACCTAACTTGTCTTACTAACCATACCACACGACAGCCAAAGAACATAGGGAAAATAATTTTAACATAAGTAACAGCCTAAAGCAGTAAAAGTTTCACAGCGGTGCCTTAACTCCTATCAGATCACAATAGCCATATATTTTCTTAAAAGAAAACAAAATGGAAAAGCCTTACAGCATGTTTTTGCTATTACATTTCCACAGACTACATACATCTGATTTCTTCAGTAAAAGTATCATCGTAACGACATCATTAATCAGCCTAAAAAGCATTTGCATTCTAGGGAATTCAATGTCCGTGCTATTAAGTTCTGACACATCTCCTGTATTTGCCAAGGTCCTTCCAGACTTGAGCTGGTAAAAGTCTCCTTAGCACACTGCTGTCCTCCTCCCCAGCCCCACCCATCCCGTTTTAATTGTAGGCTTCCTGAAATTAGCAACTGTTTAAAAATATGACAGACAGAGAGAGACTGTGCAGGCAAATTTACTCCAGTATCGCCTGTTGCTCTCTTGACGAATAGCCATCTATGACAAATTAAGAAGCTTGGCAGACCACAAATGTTCAGAACGATAAAAGTTTTCAACACTAGAAACACATTGGGGAGCCCATTTCTAGTATTTTACAAGAAAACTAATAATTGCTAATCCTGCATTTTCTCACTGCAGGTACTTCCAAGCATAAGGGCTCAAGAGGAGGAACTTACAGCGACCCACTGGAACATTTTGATGTGAGAAGCCAGAGGACCAATCCCCTTTTTCTCCATTCCTGTACTGTATAATACTGCTATCAAGAACAGGTGAAGAGAAAAGAAAAAAAAAAAGGAGGGATGCGGGTAGCAGACATAATTATTGGTGATGTTACTTAAATTCTCTTCTTCAGAAGCATATTTCAGGATAACCAAGATCTAAATTTCTAATTAAAAATTTCCACAGTCTTCTGTTCTGAAAACACTTTCAAGCTCTTTTTCTACAGCTGAAGACAGAAGGAAGAGCATAGCCCTGTTTTATCCCTGCTGGTACCCTCATCATTAACAGCTGTCAAGTAACGTAAAATACTCTAAAATTTCACTAGCTTACCTCTCCGTGATGCAAAGAGATGCTCTCCAGTATTCACATTCCAAAAACAACCTGTTCCCATCGTCAGTTTAACATCTCCTGGGTGAAAGCAGCATTCTCCAAACATGGCTGACTGCTGATCAGCTACCTGCCGTACCAACAAAAACAAACACAAGTTAGCTACCAACTACCAGCCTACAATGCTGCTGGATTTTAAAGTACCAATGCAAACACTTCAGAGTCCTGAATACAAATATCCATTCAGAAAGGAACTGAGCATTAAGAGAGGACTTGCATACAATTCCGTAAGTATTTGCAGGCCATTCCAACAGTCAGATTTATCACTAGAATCAAATTACACCAGGTTTGGACACAACATGAACGTCTGTAATATTGCTTGCAACACTGAGAAATATGTTACAAAAACAAAAGAAATATTTTATGTTTTAGTACTTGACGAGGATAAACGGGGCATTTGCAATGCCAGGGAGCAGAACAGAGTAGGTTGGCTTGAACTCCTCTTCCCCCAAATAGAAAGTTGACGTTTTGAGATCTCACCTTCCTTTTTCCCTGCTACCCCTCCTGTACCAAATTATTCCATGCTCAATTTTTCAACAATGATGATGGCTATTAAATGTATTTACTTATGTTTGTGCCTTGGTGAAACAGTAAATTTACAGATAAATTGAGTCTACAATTCTTGAAAAATAGCAAGAGAAATTCATGTTGGATAGATGACATTTTTTCCATCTAGCTCAATTCAAGCCGATTTTTCTACAAGTCATCACTTTACAAGAATAATGGGGTTTTCTTACCCAAATCCTAACTACTGAGGCAAGAACAAGTTATTCTCCATTTATTTTTAGTGAAAAAAAGAAAGAAAAGGTACCACAAGTGGATCTCTTAACAAATACTCTTACATTTGTGTAGAGTCTTACTGAAGTCAAGCCAGGGTGTACATTGTACAACTTTATATAGAACAACCGATTCTAAGCCAGAGAGAGAGACATTACCAGAGCTTAGAGCAGAACCCAGCTCTGTTAAGTCCTACATTCAGTGCTTAATCATTTGGTCATCTAACCTTAACGGACCTCAACCTCTGGAAATCCCTTCCCGTTCCTCTCTCCTCCTTTCCCCCTAAAGTTGTAAACTGAGTTTTTGTAGAAAAATTCAACAGCCAATTTTACTATAGTTAAGTCATAGAGAAGGAATAGAGAATACTTACTAAACACAAGCAAGTATTAAATCAAAGCTAGATAAAAAGAATATAGGTACAAATACACAGATCAACATAAGAAAACATTTTCACTCACCACTGCCATTATTGGAATAGGTACCCCAAATATTTCAGAGTCAGCTGATCCGAAGTTGAAGCTTAAAACAAATGTTATGGAGAAACATCACAACACTAAACTGACCTTTTTGTTACAATGAAATCTAGATATCTAAGGCCTGGGTCTGCGTCACATATGAAAAGTAACGCTACCGATTTATTTTAAAGAAAGCATTAAAACTATCACTTTAAGAAATACTGATAATAAAAATACAGTTTTGGATGTAGTGTTAAAAAAGTACATCTGCAGAGAAAAAGAATTTAATTTTTTTGTGTATCTGTATATTACTTTGCCTGTGCAGATTATGTAGTATTTTTCTAAAGGCAATTCATTTAACAGGTATCATATTCTTTCAAATATGCCTTCATAGTTACCTTGTGTCTTTCACTGGAGGATAAATAGACATTGGAATAGAAAGTAAATTACACAGAGTAGGGTTCCAACATTTCTGAAATAATATGGAAAAAGTAAAAATGTCAGCAACTCTCTCAGAAGCACAATAAATAGCAACAACATTTTTTCGGAACAGCACATACCATAAAGGGTTCAAAAACGCCTGTGGCACTGGCATTTGAGTAATCTGTAGCATACACAGAACCTACCGTGAAAAAAAGAACAAAGTAAAATTTTAGATATCCAAATACTTAAGAGTCATTTTAAACATACTTTTGTAAACATCTCGGTGGCTCCCATGGAACATAAACTGAGTGTCTATAGGCAAAGTCATAATGATACAATGAGCACACAAACTTTACCTGGCGCTCACTATAATGTGTATCTATTAATTACCTTATTTTACCCTCACGAAACTGGCTAGAAGAGAGCCGGTACTTTTGACAACATGGAAACACTGACTGCATCACTGTCTATCGTAATCTATCGAATTGCTCAGGCATTAGCCCTCAGGACAGAAACTTGTAATTCTTCCACATTTGTAACAATTCTTTGTTCTTTTTCTTTCACAGGTACTTTTCTGTAAAAATAATCAAGGCCAATTAGTTCTGGTAGTCCTCTTTAAATCTTAAACGCTTAAAAGGTTGATTACACTGAATAATTATTTCCCTTTCTGACTGCCCTTCCAGGCAGGCTCAAGGAATAGTTAATTCAGAAGTTATTTTTTTTTAAACAGTAAATATATTACAATACTCATCAATTATAAAAAAAGCACAAATGCTCAAAAAAGTATTTGAATTCTAGGAAATATCAATGACAGTCATGAACATCAGTACTGAGATTCCAGTATATTTTATTAATATTTAAAGAGGAACTGTAACATTCACCTTTAGTCAATCTATACAGTAACCACGTGTCAACTGTTCCAAAGCAGCAGTTATTTTTTTTGGCAGCTTCTTCAGCCTGGGAACAAACATACATACAAAAAAAGTATTTACAACTGGGTACAATAAAGAGGAACATATTTCCTGATTCCTTTTCTCATTTTCTTCACGGTTAACGATAACATCCCCAGAAAATAAGTCTCTGCCAATATTTCTTCTAAAAAAGGGCGAATTGGCTATATAAGTAACGTTATCCTACAGTTCGTGCTCCTAAAAGAGAATACGCACAGTTTCTTACAGTTGCTGCTAAGGAAAGAAAATAAATTAATCTTCTACTGCGGTGGCATCGGAGCCTTAAGATGGGAAACTTTATAGTCACAATTATAACAGCAGTGAAGGAGTGGTGAATAAAGAAAACAAGGTCCTGCATACACCACTTAAATAAAAAATTAACAGAAATATAAGAAATAAGTGTATTTTTAAATATGTGCTTGAGAACAATAAAGACAGAGCCATCATTTTCTGGTTTATGATGTCTGTAAAGAGTTCAAAATGTTATTTTCCTTGGGATTTTTTTCCCCTTTAAAATGGGAAATTCAGGTTTCATCCAATTTCTACTAACTGATACTGTGTACAACTACAGAAATCAGAGAAAGAACACACAAACTAGTTCACTCAAAACATGACTGTATACATTATTCTCTGTAATTAAAAGCCACGATTTTTGAGCTTCTTGGCTTGATAGTCACATGTTTTAAGTATCAGTGCCTGACAAAATGTGGGAGAACGTTCATCTCACACTGAAAACTCAGCAGCTGCATAACCAATTCTATAATCCTCCAAATTCACACCTCACATTTTCAACACGTCCAGCCAAAACATGCCAGTAAAAAATTATACTTGACCTTCTCTATAGTTAGTTTTGTGACAGAAAATACCAGACAAAACTCAAGATTTCAGGGTTTCTTTACACAGGGTAGAAAATTGATGATAACCATTTTCTTACTTGAAAATTAACATAGAAAGTAAGATGACTGAAGTTATAAACACAATGGGAAGAAACAAGGAAAACGGTAAGGATTAGAGCAAAGAATACAGTAACAAATAGCTCAGTGCTCATTAGTTCATTAGATTATTCCAGCACAACTTATTTTACCTGTAGTTTCCAATTTACACTACAACAAAATGCAAAATAAATTGCAGTGTCTGATTGTTCAGTACGATATTATTTGTGAAACTGTAAACGCTGAATAACGCAGAGTGGAAAGATAAGAGTGCCAGTTGAAAATAAATACAATTGTCAGGCAAAACCAGAGCGCAGACAACTTTAAAACAAAGTACAATTACTAGTTGTATAATTATATGAAGTAAAATAAGGCTATTTTATTATGTTTCTTATGCATGAAGAAAACTTTTTACTGCTACACATTTCCAGGATCAGAGGAAAAAGTTGTATAAACACGAGTAGATATTTTGGTAGGCAGGCTTTGAACATTAACACAGATGAAAGTCTTTCATTCTGGTTCTTTTGAGGAAAAGAACAAGCAAGACAAAACTGAAGAGGTTACAACCAACCTAAGTCACTAGCCATTATTACGACTTAAGAAAGCTATTATTTTTCCCTTTCCAGCTTACCTCATGTATGTTTTTAAAAACCCATGACAACTTCATAGAAGTTTGTTGCGTTGAAAAAGTAAGAAAACTTGGTGCCAAATATCGATCATTCCCAGTCAAGAAATGAAGCACTGTAAAAATAACATGGACTACCTGTTTCAAAAGAAAACAGTTACTTAATTTTTAATCTCTCCCTTTAAAGGTTTCTGATCAATTATCTTTAAAGGATGACAACACAGATGAAAGCTGCTGATGTGAGATTAGATTCAGAAAGCTAAAGTTCTGTTAGAGAATCCTTACACAGGATTTCAACAGGTAGCCTTCCCACAACAAATACCACAGGGAAGAGCAGCTGCGCTCAGCAAGTCTGTTTTACTGACTTCTGCTGGCACGCTGCTAGAGACTGCTCTGCATTACGAAGACAGGTCACCTACATGAGCACAACGCGCGATGTGGGTGACAGCGTCACATACTGTTATTCCAGTGAAAGTTCTCCTACAGTACACAGGCTCGATCAGGTTTTACTAGATTAACCAGAATTTAATCATTAATCAAGTTTTCATTCACACAAGAAGTCAGTGGCAAAACCAAGAATTTAACTTCTTATTTTGAGTGTGCTAGTTAGTTTCCACTTACAGGAAAAGTAACTTCAGTTTTTCCACTTAGAGCAAATCTTTCTCTTCCAAAACTATGAAGCACAAGCCATAAGCAGCATAAAATGTACCTTCTATAGATAATCTGAGCAAAGAGTACATTAAAAAAAACAAACAAAAAACCCAAAACACTGCCAACCGAGAACTACCTACACCCAAAAATTATGCTGCAGCAGTGTTAACATGCAACATTTTAATACAACAAAGAAACTAAAAAGTAACAAAATGTGTGCTAGACCTACAGATATCTTTTCCCATAATTAATTACCTTCAGGCTATCGGTACTGCATTTTTTCTTGGTACTATTGTCCATGCTAATCTTGCTCAGTTATATATTTTTAGGCTACAGCACATCATATTAACACGTTAACAGGACACTTGCAGTATTTCATATGTTGCCCTCACTCTTCATAAAAATGAAACAGTTCTAGTATGTCCAAGCAGTACCTAGCTTATCCCAGTTTTACCTTCAGCAGAAGGGACTTATTCCAGGAATTCACAAGTTCAATACTTCTTAAGTCTTGCCAACTTATGAAATTATGAAAAGGTTTCCCTGTCCTCCTGAAAAACAGTATTTGAACATTCCCATTTAAAACTACAGAACATACACTGCCCAAAAAATTCAACATCAATCACCATTTCCAGTCAGGACACTTAACACTAGGTCAATTCCTAAAATAAGTGCGTATCCTCCTCGTGGATTCGAGGAATTAGTAATAGGCATGTGGACATTTTGAGTGTGAGGCTTCTCACCACAATTAAAAAATACGTACGTATTCATCTCTTCCAAAGTACTAAGAACAAAACAAAAATGACATACACTTATAAACCGTTCTGAACTGCTGTAAGGTGTGGCTCTGCAAACGCAAGAGAACATGAGTGACTGACGTTTGCTGCTTTCAGGTTGTGACTTGACTGAGTTCAACATTTCTACAGTCTGCTTCTATGAATACAAATTCATTTTCAACAACACACAATATACATACTTGTGCCATGTAATGAAAGTTGCTCTCTGCGTTGAGATGCCAAGACCAGCAATTTGCCTCATGTGAAGTCCCGCAGCTAAAAAACAAAAACAAACCACACAAAAAAAGCATTTATTTGAAGAAACAAACAAAACCACAACTTTTCCAATATAACTATAAGACCTATGGGATACTTAGGAAATTAATAATTTAAGAGAATATAAATCTCTACAGACTGGCCAACTAAGTGGCTAGAGCAGTGAAACATCAGCAAACTCCGAGTCAGACCAACTGATTCCAAACCAGCTGAATAAACCCATGTATTTTACAAAAGCAGTTGTGGCACACTGACCCTTTCCACCTTCTGAAAGGCCTGTTGATACTTCACTTGAACGGTCCCAGAGACAAACAGGCAGGCAGGTTACATATGCCTACATAATCAATTAAAACCTGCATTTCACAGGGATGAACGTGAACAAAAACACAAACAGAAGGAGTAAGTACCTTTACAAACTTATAGAAAGAAATTCCGTAAAGAAACAAATCTAGATTGATTCTGTAGGCAGCAAAGAGATTAATGTCAATATGCCATGATTTTTTACATCACTTTAATAATGACATGTCTCACGTTAAATATTATATTCCTTAAGCAATCTTTCAAAATTCCTACGAACAAATTTGCTTAAACCACGTATCACTGAGTGCAACAAAGTGTACTTCAAATTCAAAAGTATGAATACGTACATTGGGGTATACAGCAATTTTGCTGTTAAACCTTACCTTCAAATAACTGTTACAGAACATTTTTTCTAATATATGTAACCATAAATAATTAAATATGTCCACAGCTATTTTCAAAGCAACTCTGGTCAGCTTCCCACGTGCCTCCACACATAATTCCAGAAGCAAAATTATGTGGAAAAAAAGATACATTAAGAAATTCTACTTAAATGATTTTGCCCAAAGCACCGTTACTCTGAAGGGCTCTCAATCCCACTACTTGAACAAATCACAGGTTAAGGAGGTCCTGCTCATACATGTTCTTATGTTAACTTTCATGTGCAAATTTACTCATTTGTGTAAGCGTATACTGCAGACTCTACAACCGACAGCCTCTGAGTGACAATTACAGAAGGGGTTTCATAGAGAAAGGGCACGTCTTGCTCCGCCGACCTCTACACGTGCTTCGGCGCCTTCCCTGACACTGGTCCTTGCATTCACGCAGGCAGTGGTATCAAGGACCTCCATCAGCTGAAAATTAAATCAGTGCTTTCGCAAGGCTACCTGCTCCAACTGCCTGCACAAGTGCTGCTGGTAGTGGGAGCGTACGGGAGGAGGACCTGGGAGTGGGTGGCTTGAGAGCGGCAGTATTTCTTTTTTCAGTAGCAGCTGGGTCTAAACCAAAGGCAAAGCCATACTAGTACTGCCGCAGCTCACTGCGGATTAGAGTGGCACGTCTCGCTCCTCCCCATCTCCACAGGCTGCAAACTCCCACCACTTTTCCTGTGACAACTATCATGCTCTCTAGACCCAAAGAGAGTAGAGCTAACTTCCATTAAAGAGAAAAACAAAACAGAAGACAAAGCACAGATACTTTTCCGCTAAGCTGGTGAGCTAAGCTGTCTCCTGGAATGGTTGAACGAGTACCAGAGTGCAAGACAGGGGTGGGACCATCCAGAAGCAGTTTCCACCTTTAGGTAGTACTGAACTACATCAGCTCATCCACCCGCGCATGGAATCACATGTTTTAGCTGCACAAGCCCTGTAAATTGAAGTGCTCCTATGCCTTCTTTCTGCTTCCAGACAGTCGTTCCTGCCCCTGGTACCACACCCTCTCTTGTGCTGGCACAAATATTTGTGAAGCTCTGCTGGCATAAACAACTGCACAGCAAGTTGACTCAGGAAACTGCTCTGGACTTGAAACAACCCTGTAAAAAAGGAGGGTGGACTGCTTTTGACAGCAGCGTGGGCTTATGCTCACTTACATTACACAACTACTTAAAAATGACTTGCTGACAGTGCGCACAGCTTGGCCACAAGAAAAGCTTCCCCTTTTAAAACCAGCTGAAAAATCTCGCTTCCGAAATTTGCCCCACAGAATGGGAGTGGAGGAAGCTAGTAAGGTCGTTAGGGGTTGAGGTGGAATTGCTGTTCTTGTGACAGAACAGTTGTGGCTCCTGAGAAAAGAGAACAAGAGCATAAAATAATCAGCTGCAGCTTACACCTGGTAATAGTTACTTCCCCTGTCCCCTAGGCTGCCTTCCAAAGGAAGAGACGAGCAGTTTTGCCTTGAGCCAGGCTTGGAGACAGAGCAATGCTTGGAGACAAAACTGCAAGAGGGGCTGAACAGGAAGAACTTTAGGCACTGAAAGAGAGTGTGACGCACACACACATGACAAGGAGGCTGGGGCACTGTGAGAAAGCGAGCTGGGGTACAGCTGACAGGTCCACGGCATCAGCATGGCACGGAAGGTGATCCATGCTGGATCGCAGAATGCTGGAGCTGGTATAATGGGAAAGCTGTAGGAGCTGTAGCACACAGTCAGAGCGGAATCCAGAAAAGGGAGGGGGGGGAAAAAACTTCAGAAGTTTGGCAGAAAAGGGAGTTGTGCATGTTTTAGTGTGTAAAGTACTAGGAAATTTTAGGCTAAAGTACAAATAGGAAAGAACAATAATACAGAAATCGGATGGTAAGAACTGTTTGTAGTTTGAATGGAGAAAGCGGGAACATCGGGTTGTAATCGAGCGAGCATAACTATGCAGCATCCTGCTTTCATTCTCATACACTCACATCCGCACACACAAAGTGGCAGTAGAATAATGAGGAATCGGAAGGTGAAACAAGCCTACCCTCTGTTCGTACACAGAGGCATCTAGGGGAAGGAGGACAGACACTGGGGAAGGGTACATATACAAAAAGCTGGAGCAACAAGGCGCTGTCACTGACACGTAAATCGAGTACGCATGCTCCTTCTGGTTCTACTTCAAACCTAATCTGGCCTCACTAAAAGATAAAAAGTGATTGAAGTGTCCTATTCTACATAATGATTGAACAGGCCTTAAAGCATGTTGCAGACCTGTTAATCAGTGATGAGTTTTCGTACTTTTTAAAAATAAAGACCTCTTAATATCTAATTAACTAACTTTACTAATTTTAATGAATAATTAACTTCTCAACCTTTATAAGCCATTACCTTGTACAGCCTCTTTTACTACACCAACAAACTGACTCCACAGCACTTCAGGATCTAATTCAACCCAGCCAGGACGAGGATAAAGTGATTCCACCTGTTCATGAAAGACACACAGCACTGTTATGCTCTCTCGTTCACAGAAACCAGCATTCTTGTGAAAGTTTGTGCAAACACGATTGGGTTTGCTTTTTTTTTGTTCTTAATTTTCTGAATTGACTGCAAGAAGAGAAACAACGTTTCTCACTTTTAAAACACGGTTTAACATGGGTGTGTGATCTCTAGAAGACCTCCTCGGTTCAGAGAGAATAAAGAAGACCAAACCCCCGGGAACTGGGGAGCCTGTAAACCCCTTTCGGGGTTCCAAACTGGAAACCAGGTTTCTCAGAGAGCCTTTTGGCTCCGCTGCTGAACTCGGACATCGATGCCTCCGAGCAGCTCAGTAGCAGCGCGGCACAGCAGGCCAGGGATCACCCACCAGATGGGCTTCCAGCGAGAGGGAGGGTCAGCTCCACTGAGAACATCCCCTTCCACCTCTGACAATCCATCAGATTTCTTACGCTTCTCCTCACTGCAATCTTTTCATTGCAATAGCTAACAATAAAAAAGTTAATTCCAGAGATCGTCTCGATCCCAAAATCACGAGCCATGCAAACCAAGAGGAGCCTGAAGTTCACGTTCCAAAGTTAACGCTTTTACACAGCGCTGTTACATAACGGGACGCGTGTGAACTCAAGTCCTACGCAAGTCTCAGCTATGCCCTGCTAACAAAAGTGGTTTTGTTTGGAGAGGGATTAGTCCACAAGCGACTAAAGCAAAGGTAACAGGGAAAGGTGGGCGGGAGCAAACGCTGAGAGGTAAGGGGGCGAGCGCACTGGTGTTATCCCCGGGGGGCTCCCAGCCGGGTGGGGGCTTTCGTTTCGCCCTGGCTGGTCTGAGGGCCCTCGGGAAGCCGTCCCCATCCCACCCGGCTCAGGGGATGCCCGCGCACCGGGAAAAGCCAAGCTGGGCGAGCACCTGTGAACGCTTCCCAACGCCGAGCCCCGACCCGCGCCCCGCCTGGGCAACCCGCCGCCTCCCGGGACGCCGCACGGGTGAGGGACCCGGAGACCCGCGGGGCAAAACCGCCCGGCACTCCG